GACATCTTTGTCAGTCGTTGAGTAATTTTTCTCTGCCTTGGACAGTGCCCTGCTTGCGTAAGTGATCACCCTCTCTGCTCCGTCTTGTCTCTGGACGACTACGGCGCATGCAGGCGCAGGGACATTTCCCTGACGAATAAAATCGAGAATTATTGTACTTCAAAGTATATACGTTCTATCTGAAGTATCGTATGCACAACAAATGAGGACAGAAATGTCATTCTTTGTTTTTTCTACAAATTGCCGCTGACTCGCGTATGTGAAGCAATATTAACTAGTGTTAGGTTTTGTAGAGTTTTATTTATGTTTAGATCTTACGTTTCAAATACCACTGACAAAAATTTTAATACTAACTCAGTGTGAATAATACACACTATTAACCACGAGGCGTATTTTACTTGTGGTCCGCGATTGCAGTTAGTAGGTGACGTACAACACTCCGTACTAAAATAAGTGCGTTTCCGCGGCTTTTGCATGTTACTTCGGTTTTATATGTTTTACCCGGAAGGTCCTTCAGAAATGTAAGCATTGCTGCGGTTAACAAATTAGGGGGTTCGAGGTGTTTAGCTAATATTTTACCGGAACACTTGATTTGCGCACTGAAAGGCGACGAGCTCGCGCCCGCAAACCTACAAAAACTATCTTAATATTCAAATGACCAAACAACAGGAAACCTGGGGAGGTAAACAAATATAGACGCAGTACCAAATTTCGAGAGGGGTCACAAAAAAGGACTGAGTAATTCACGCAGGAAACCTATTTTTTCACGGTCTTGATCGTCACCGAATGCCTTGTATGCAAAGGCGATGAAGAGGTAATGATCTTGGGACGATGTTGAGGTTGAGCCGAGCATGGTCTACTTTTTTTAATTTTCTTAAAATAAATGCCGACTTTAAAGGGGTCATGAAACGCTTTTCCAACTTTTTCCTGTTTAGCTTTCCTCCTCAACTCATAAATCGCGCATTCCACCTTAAAGAAGTCGAAAAGAAGGGAGGCCCCTCTCGCTCGGAATCTGGTTTGTCTACCCGGAGAGAGCCATTGTCCCCATGGAAGATTAGCCCGTCGCTCAAAATTCAGACAAAAGTTGCTTTCCCCACCCCGTTCATTCCGAAGCTGACAGTGCTGTTGAAGCTACGTGCTCGTTGGGCCAGCCACTCTTGCCACGTGAGCGTGGCAAATGTGGCTGCAGAGAATGAAGTCAGGTGATGAAAGGGAGGCGGCTGATTGGTCCGGCAAGCGCGTAGCTTCTACCACGATGTCAGCTTAGGGGTGAAAAGAACAAGTGACGTCAGTTTGGACCAAAAACAATGCTTGTTTTTGCATCTTGAAAGGAAACTTTAGTTTCTAGATCTCGGTGAGTGTTAGCTCGTTTGTTTAAGACGCTGAAAGCATTGCGTGCAGTCTACCGCGAAAGTTTCTCGCTTTCATTGTGTTCTCGTTGGCTTGTTTTTTATTGTATTCCAAAGATCGTCTTTTGAATATACCAAAAACAACTTTGGTCAACTGCTTTTTTGCGTGGCCAGAAAATGCTACATTTTATGATAGTATAACAAGTCAGTTTTCGTTTCCACGGGAAAAATATGTCTGAGATTTTACCGCAAAGTTGAGTCATAACACATGAGTCCTATGGCTATGAGGCTTTCGGTTGAAAAATATGCGCAATATTTTCTGGTCCATAAGTCGATCGCACCTTTGTATTACTTGCGCTTTTCTGCACGGTCGGCAAGAGTGCAGTTGTATGCCCATTAGTATTATGATCGCGACATAATCTCAAGCAGGAGCAATTTTCAATATTGCTGTTAACGGATGATAGGAAAAATAAATACTTATAGACCCAACCACGAAAATTTTCACACTTAGGGCGTATATATATTAAAGAAAAACACATATCACCCGCACCATTCAATGAAATGCAGCGATTGAAATATGGAAATAAACCGCGTCTTTCCTATTGGAAAACCCCAATGTGAAAAGGTAATTATGGATATTGGTAAACAATATATTTTATTGTATTACAATACGATATGCATATGTATTGGAAAACATTACCTTTACTGTATCGTATTCCAAGAAGGGTTTGTTATGAGATACCAATATACGTTTGATTTATTGGATTACAATAAGGGGTTCCATATCCTTAATACGCTAAAAACATTGGAATCCCAACTGTGTTAACGCGTATCGGATCCCATGTGTCGTATGGAGATCCAATAACGGTTTACAATTGCTGTGTATTTAGCGTGTGGTGGATATTGGAGTCTAATATATTATATCGGCTACCAATAAAAGTATATACGAGATGGAATGTCACGTTCAGCGCAACATTTCTTTGCAACGCAAAGTCTCCTTGTGTGTATTTCGGAGTGATGAAAAAAAAAATGTTGCAGTTGTCAAATTATGAACAAAGACGCAAAACACTGGGCTCATCTATACCAAATATATTTAACATATTCCTGACCTGGAGGATCCGGCATTTACTGCAAAAGAAAGTTTATTGCTTACAACCCTCATTAAAACACTTGATGTTTGAAAAGAGAATGTGAAATCCTAACCCCCTAATGAAAACAGCACCTGTTAGCTGCAGCCATAAAACTGCAAGATAGAAATTTATGATTAGCTGGCGACAAGTAGCGATTCTTCACTAAGCCGGATAGATTCAAAGTTATGTCCTGGTTTGTTACGGAAAAATAAGCTTCAATGCAACTGCACCGAGTCATTCTGAGCTCGGTCAATTAAATATACGTATATATCTTCTGTGTTTCAGAAGTATTTGATTCTTTAGCCTTAGTTGTTTGCAAATAAATCTTGACAACAAAGGAGACATAACCATGTTTCTGACCGAGATTCTTGGACGAGTGTTGGGTCAACCTTGGGTCGACACGTGGGTGGACTCCAGTCGAGTAACCGGAGAGTGAGTGGATGCTGCTGTCACGTGGTCACATCTCGAAAACGTCGCGAAACAGCCAAGCTCGCGAACGCCCTGTCACTTCGCTCGCTTCTCACTTGGTGGCTCGGTTGCTCCGAGCAAGAGAGATAAAAGGTTATAATGAACCTTCTCTAAACGAGAGAGTTTTTCACCGCCCAGAACCTTTCAAAAACGTTTTTTTTTTTGTGTGTGTGTGGTTGTTCGGTATTAATGAGGGAGCTTTGGGCTTAATCGTCATACAAGTGCCAGATTTAGGCTTCAATGTTGGGTGTGTCTCAGTTGCGGGTCCTTGGGTGGCGGGTCCACAACTATCACGATTTTTTGGCAGTCAAATTTGCTGTTATGGAAACCTCATAATCGCCATGGTTATTTCTTGATCGCATGTTTCAAGTTCAGGAGTTCTTTTGTTCCAGTTAATTTTTTGCTCGAAAACAATACGTGGTGTTTCATCTTAATTGCAACAGAGTCTTAAAAAAAAAGAATTGTACCAGTGGGTGAGAGTTAGACGAGTTGAGGGGATAATCGTCGGACATTAGATGGGATAATGGTCAAGGTAAGTTGACTAATTATCTCATATGTTTTATGTATTTTTAATTACTATACTCGTTTTCACCTTAAGAACCGAAGTAAAACAAGTCCGGCTGGTGGCGGAGTGTTCTGGGTTTCCACCAATGAAATGCCGCGATATCGCGTAGACTTCACTATTCTCCGTCGGGAGGTGGTGGGATCTACAATTAGAGACCGAAACCAAAACGAATTTAGCACTGCAGCATCCTCTAGTGGCAAAAAGCTAGAACATACCTCGTTAGATAGCGTTTGTTTCAGATTAACATGCCTATGCTCTGCACAATTTTGCATCGCCTTTTTAAACTGTCTTTAATAAACCTATCTTTGTATATCTAACATTGTTTATACCGTCGGGTTTCTAAAAACACCATGAGAAAAAAAAATCAATGTGTGCCAGTTTTCGCGTGTTTACAGTTTTTAACGGCAACCTTGGAGTGCTAAAGCAAAAAGATCAGCTGACATCGTCGACATCGCCGCAAACTTGATGAACTGGGATTGATCAGACCTGCTACCAGCCACAAACCTATGTTTGCATAGTTTATTCTGTCTAATATACCTTTGTTTACGTTATTGCGTTGACGTTCATGTGTATACATTGAGTGGGCAGTCGGTTTCCTTGCGTGTCGTGGTGATTTTAAATTTTTATTCTTTAATTCTGTTTTCTTAAGTTCCGTGGTGTGGGGATGGTGGTACAAATCCTGATTATAAGCAGAAACAGCGTGGTCGATGTGAGATAAGTTCTTCCACGATCCCATCAAAGCTTCTGCTTGTTGCCCGAGTGGCCCTGTGTGAGGATGGCGATAAGAATCCCGATTATAATCTGAAACAGCATGGTGAATGAGAGATACGTTTATTGCCAGAGCGACTCCAAGGCATGTGGATGGCAGTTTGTGAGTTTACTTTCCCACAAACCGCATGGGGAACTCACCACTGCAGTAACGGAGCTATCTCATTCTCAATGAAAGACTGGGCTGAACATGATGTTTAGACCTCAAAATGAGGTGTAAGCGACACTGAATTCGCATGAGGTGAGCAAGTGAAATGTTACGCTCAGGGTCACATTCGAGAACAATGGTGCCCTTTCGGCATGCCGCCCAACACTACGTCTTCTTTCTTGAATGAAAACGACCCTTAAAGTGTTATTGTGTGCATATATGTTTAGCAAGCAAAAAGGCAAAATGGCGCCTGACACCTCTGCTGTAGATGGGCAAATTAGCGAGTGAAGTACAACTGCAAACTTTTTTTTTATGGTGAATCTTTGTAATGGTTATCCACGGAGCAGTGGGATACATACAACTGATTTCAAAGACCCCGAGAAGCCATGAACAAGGCTATTACGTAATGAAAGGTAGAATCACGACAACAACATGACACTGGAGCTTAGGCGTGTATGAAGTCGGGAATCCAATTTTGCAGTATGTGAATGGTCCTCAAAAAAACCCCTCTGTGTTCTGGGGTATGACAAACAAAGTCCAAAGTTCTAGCCACTTTCAGAAGAGAACATATCCTAGGAGGATATTAGTTCACGGTCAATCTGTTCATTCTCATCCTCGTCGTCAGCTTCGTCGTCGTCTCCACTCTCCTCCTCCGTGTCGCTTGCATCGAGGGGTATGATCACTGGCTCGAGGTTCGACTCTGGGACATCACATTCTCGAAACTTCGCCTCCATTTTTTTCCTATGCTCTACAAAGTCATGCCAATGGACAGCTGTTACGTTGTCCACTGCTTCCCTCAAGAGCCGCTCGGCGTCATTGGGCTTGAATGTGATGTTTTTGGAGGCGACCTCCTGCTTGACTCGTGCCCATATCAACTCTATGGGATTTAGTTCGCAATGGTACGGTGGGAGCCTCAACACTGTGTGTCCAACGTCCGTAGCCACGACGTCAACTTTGTGCTTTGTGTAGCGATCCTTCACCGTTGCCACGATGCTCAGAAGGTCTTTTTTCTTCATTGTGGCAGTCCAGTCTAGGTTTTTGGAAGAGAGCCACTGCTGGATCTCGCCCTTCTTTGTTGCAGTTGTGGGAACTGCTTCAGCCTTTCTGCTGTGGTATGGTGCGTTGTCTATAAATGAAGAAACCATGCTTCAAACCTTTTCGAGTCCATTTCATCGTGGTAGTCCCCCTTTTTCTTCCAAAGGAACACGTCCAGGCAGCCGGACACGAAGCCAGTGTCACTACCTGCGTGGGTGACAATCACTCTTTCACCTTTTCCAGAAGGAACCTTTAATCCGGTCGTCAGTCCAGACATGAAGGCTTGCCTTGCTGACTTTATGGTGCTGTGGGTCCACAGCTTGTCAACTGTAAGGCCGGCGTTCACCCAAGTCTCATCTTGCGGTACTCTGTGCTTTCCGATGGCCCTCAAATACCGCCGCCTCCACTCGACGATGTCCTCTCTCTCAATTAGGAAGGAGTTGCGATTCCGTTTCTGTTTCTGGAAAGCCATGTCCTTCAGCAGGCGATACAGGGTAGACCCGGAACAGGACGGCAGCACGTTGTCTTCTTGGAGACGAGCGGCGATTTTCTTCAACGTTGGAATCTCCCCCCGACAGAACAAATTGTGCAGGCAGCTTCTCACGGCCGTCAAAGTGCACGCGTCGTGATTTGAAATCCTCTTCCTTTTCTCAGCGAATTTCGGGCGCTTCTTTGAAGGAGATTTCACAGCTCCGTTGGCACGTTTAAAGCCACGCTTGATCTCGTAGATCGAGCTAACACTGATCCCCGTTGCGGCGGCAGACTTCCACCTCATTTTTTTCTTAGTACTGCCGCCGCATTCAAGAATAAACGTTCATAACACACTGCCTTGTCTGGCTCTACAGGACATTTCCACCTGCGTGACGTTTGTAGTACAGCCGAGGGGAAACGTCTTCAGGAAAGAGTGCTGACTTCACGGACCGATCAGTCAGAGATGTTGGAGTCGCCATATTGGAAGTCCAGCAACAGCGGCTGGCCGGCTGGCTACGAACATCGATCCTCAGATCTTGTGAGGCGTTGAATTACGTGAATACACGCGTACTAAGGAGGTGTTTTATTTATCCTACTGAGATTAACAAATTTATTTAAGCTTAAATGACGCTAGCTTCCCAGAGCAAACGTTTATCGGAACTACTTCGCAGAACGGAATAATATGTGCGACGGCATGCGACCAATAAGCATGCGATGAGAGGGACACACCCACTTTTTTCTTAAGGTGAAAACGAGTATAGTTGCAGAAGTTATATTGGAATGGCTGTCTTGACTGTAACTAATATTAAAATTTCACAAAAATAGCGTCGCAAGCCGAGCCCACAATGATGCTATGAAAGGGCACGTTGGAGTTTCAAGCGTGCCCTTTATGGGCGCGCCAACGACACAAGTGAGGACCTGGCAAATACGACATCATTCTTGCAAGTTTCAGTGTGAGCCGGGCTAAATCAATGCCACCTTGAAGACAAGGCCTGCGCGTTTCATTCACTAAACATCTACACTAGTATATCCCCTGAGCGCCCCTTAGGTGTCCCGGATGAGCAACATTGTCTGCTACATCGTCTGCGGCATCGTCTGCTCCATCGCTTGCGTCAGTAGTCATGCTCAGAACGAGCTCCCATTAATAGGCTGGTAAGAGCGGCAATCTTGATGGTGTTAGTTGCACGTTGCAAATGGACTGTGGAAGTTCGTTTTCAGCAGGTGGCAACGCTCATGCTCAGAAGTCGCGGCCACACGCGGCCTATACTCTCGTCAAGCTTCAGCCTGTTTGCCGCTTGGGGCGGATCGGGTATCTACTAACGAAACGTAATGCGCGGGCCTTGTATTCAACAAAAAACTGTAATAATTAATAGAAGACATCTTGTATAGATCCCAAATGAAGTAATAACAACAAGCGCGAATTCGTAGAGGAGGTCGAGGAAAGCAAGAATATCTTTATCTTGAATGCTGTGCCTTTTCCCTTTGCAGGTTCTCTTCCAAATATAATATATAAAAAACGCGTATTACAATAGAAAGAAACAAACGAACACCCGCAATAAGAGAGTAATTACGTGCGAAGCAGCCATTATCATCCTCATTGTTCATTAAACCGCGAAGGCCTATACGGACAATTCAAAATGGATGAGGAGATACAGGAGATGATTTTAGTATAAGATTTTAGTATAAGATAAGAAGGAAACCTTAAAATATTCTTTTGCTCGTCGTGAAGATATCGTCTGCTTGGCCCTTTTTATGATTTGGTTTTATTTTTATTTGCTCTTGCTAACTGACAGCTATAAGTGATTAAGCACTAGCCGCATAAAGGGTCCTGATATAATTATTTGATTGCCTGCACTACACTTGCATTCAAAGTAATAGTGTTAGAAAGTGCTCGATCCTGCATAAGTCGTTGTGTCCGTAATGGATAATGGCGTTTTGACATAAAGGCAACATTTCTAGTGTCATATTTTGTATTAATTAAAGTAGGGATTGCTTTTTTTTTTTTTTTTTGGTGAATGTACAGCTAGACAGCCGTCAATCGCTAGTAGGCTAAATGAATGTCATCAGCCATCACAATTCTTAAATGGAAACGGGCATAAAGCTGAAGGAACTATTTTTAGATGCACTGCATTGAAGGTGCAAGTTACTGCATACGAAAGCACTGATTATAGTTTCATTATCCGTGTTTTGCGCATCGCCACCGTTGCGCCTTTGCAGGCGTGGTACGTTTAGAGCACCACAGCACTTTCCACGTGCTCCAAGTCTTTTTAAACTTGACGGACTTTGGAGTTTTCGATGACTCTAAACCAGCTTCGATTTCAAACATTATGTTAATGTTCAATAAGTACAACGTTAATTCAAATATCTGAGATAATTATTCTGATAATTGGTGCGTTGGTTTACATTGCCTGAAATCCGCCGTGGCTGCCAAATTGTTTACAAGAGAGGTTATATTTTTGTCAACAGCCCGCTTTTTAGGGATACTTGAAAATAGTCGCAAAAACACCCCGTATATGTGTGTACATTATAAAATGTTTATAGGAAGCTTTATTAATACATTTTTATCAAATCGTTTGCCTGCTGGTACCAACAGTCCTAATTTTGGTGTACCTAACAAGTTAGGTTGAATAAATCGTAAAACTACTTATTATGACTTTCATAGAACATAGTCAGAGAGCATATGATTAAAGTGCTTTGCTTTCAGCTAAGCAAAATATCTGCCTAATTGGCTGTCATGGATCCTAGGGACTGTAGCCAAGCCAGAAGCGGCAGTATTATTCGTTCATAAAAGCATCGGATGCTTCCCACCAAAACACAAATAAAAAATAAGAATATTTTCTTTATCTACTGATGCTTTCACTCAAGCATAATAGAAAACTACCTGACAAACAATAGAAATGTGCAATGTCCATCGGGCAGTTAAAAAATATTTTTTAACCTCTGACGCACAACGATTGTCTATTGTTGCCATGGGGGTAATGAACGAATGTTTTTCTGCCACAAGCTCTGCGAGAAATTTCTAGACAATATTTGGCTTTTGCGACAGACTTTAATAACAATGCTCGTGGACAACATTGGAGGTGCGTGGATCAAATAAAACTAAAATTGCAATACCCCCTCTCTACTCTAGCGAAGTGCTATATAACCCCATGCTAAACATTGTGGCAATATCGTCAGCGCCTACGGTACAAGATGAAGGCAATCATTGCAGTCACCTGCGTCTTCTCTGCAGTCATGCTCACTTCTGCACTCGATAGTGAGTCTGCCTTCTTCAAGGGGCCATTTTGTGTTTGTAACGTTCTCGAGTTCATTCTACTATCACGATGTTCATCCCTGCTGCTAAAAATCACAGATAACTTTCTTTTTCATCAACAAGTTTAAGACAATGAACGACTTTCTTCTCGGTTTAAGATAAATGCCGACTTGTGTGTTGTTCTCCTTCTCAGAAGAAATATTGGAGGAACTCGCCATTAGGCTAGAGCACTAAGGTGCAACTGGATCGTCAACAAATAGATGTTTTTACACTTGTTATCAGCTCAAACTGCAGAGTCGGGTTTAATGATTTAATAGGTGTGGTTCGACTTTATTTATCATTCAATTGGCGTGTAATGCATTTTATTTATAATCGACGTTTAATTAACTTTACTTATTAGTTAATATAATCAAATATTGTTTAATTTGATTTTCAGTTTATGTTTGATTTCAAAACGCAGATTGTCCTTTTCTGGTATGCAAGGTAATGCCGGCGCTGTCGGATGTACCCCATATCACCTACGACATATCTTTATATCTTAGCCTTTTTTATTATCTTCTAACTTCATTGTTGAGAGAAGATACCTATTAAAATTAGCGTATAACAATATGTTTTTTTGATAAAAGTAGATGACAATGTAGGCATTTTTACAGCGGGAGCTCTATAAAGGTTTCGATGTGGCGAATGTAGCACCTCTCTGAGCCTGTCATATTCAAACAAAATCAATTCTGCAGGACGTATTTGTGAAGCACCGCGTGCGGTATCATCTTGCGCTCAAGATGTTGAAGTGACAACTTCGTATTACTTCGACAAAAGAACTGAGCAATGTGAACAAGAAATTGGTTGTGGAACGGGCCCAAACAAATTCCCGGACCTAGAAACATGCAAAAAAGAATGTCCGTACGGTGAGTTCTGCGTGTGTTGTAATTCAAATTCTGTAACTTTGTGTGGTCAGCAGCAATCGGAGCATTCTGCGAAAATGCATGCATGAATAATAAAACATCATCTGAAAACGGACGGTCCAAAACGGAGATTTAAGGAGATCCTCTAAAGTCGATAAGCCAAGACTGTTAGCGAGGCCGTAACAAACATAGAGTAGGGATGATTCGCCGCTTCGAGATCGTCAACCTTTCTAATAAAATCTCAATTCAAGTGCAGCTGCGCAGGTATCGTGTAATTTCAAAGTTAAAGTTAATGAGGGAACTCATCGTTTCCAGGACTACTCGGTCTCTTTCTTAATTAGGCCAGAGCTGCGGTCCGAATGTGGCTACGGCCCTTCACGAGAAGTTTCGGCTTTGTCTTCTTCTACGACGGTCACCACTTCAAGAAGTAATACACCATCGCAAAAGGCAAAGTCGAAACTGCTCCTAAACTGAGCGGATTTGTCTTTGTCGCGCATCAGCTGTTTTGTCGTTTCCTCTCCTACGGCATGTTGACATAAGCTTTACTCTCTAAAAGAAGCCCGTGCGTCTGCTTTCCCTCACAACACCTCGGAGAGCCAATCAGCGCAACTTACGGAGGCAGCTCAGCGAATGACGATGCCGAAACATATGTTTAGACCAAGAAACGCAGTCTGAGTTGTGATATTAAGCAATACTAGCGTGGCGTTTTGCATTGCTTAATGCCACAACTCAGACTGCTTTTTTTGGTCTAAACAGCTGTTTCGGCATCGTCATTCGCTGAGCTGCCTCCGTAAGTTGCGCTGATTGGCTCCCCGAATGTTGTGCGGGAAAGCAAACGCACGGGCTTTTTTTAGAGTGTGTACCACCATCTGCGCAACCAAAAGAAGTCCCGAAATTCCAGACATTTCGGCCAAAGACACTGAACTCGGAAATTACGGTCAACTCGCAGACGCCACCGGCGCGCAAAATTAGTACAGCAAAAAGAAGAACGTTGCGAAGAGTTACGAGCGCCTTGTGCTGTCTCAGTCTCGATAGGCGGGCTACAGTGACTTTCCAAGTTGTAAACATATGCAGCGCTACCGGTCGCTGTCTGCACGAACTGCCTAAAACTTTCATTGCCTTGCCACAAGACTCTTCTTGTATAGTGCA